AATCGTACAGCTCTACTGTTGCCAACACTTTGCGCAGTATTCAGCTCACAGTATTTAAAGGAAACAAAGAGGTTGTAAAGCACACTGCTGCAAAATTAAAACAACTCTATTGAAAGCAGACGACGGTCTCATATGTCTGAAAAGAAAAGGAGGAAAAGGAGCCTTTTGATAAAGAACAAGTCATTGGAGGAGGAAACAAAAGACCTGAGAGACATTCGTCTTTGTGTTTCAGCTTGAAGAAGAAGACGGACGACTCCTGCAGCCTGCATGCATAAGTTATAAGGGAATACATTTACTGGAAATTTAGCAGACAGTCTTATCTGTAAGGACGATAAATACAACCAAAGTTTCACCAACTTTCTACATAAAACAAAAGCAATCAGTGTTGAGGTCGGAGTTCAAGATCCCTGAGACCGAACAGGAAATATTATTCCTGCAAAAGTTCAAGAGAGCATCAACAACCGGGACGAGCTGGAGGCTTCAGGACCTTTCCTGAACCGGAGGGTTTATTAAAGATTAAGAGGTGATGTAGCAGGTTATTCGAACAGTTTTCTTGTTGTAGAGGTTAAAGGAGGGAATATTACAGAATTTATCAGTTTGACTGTGAAGCTAAAAAAAGGTTAAAGAGGACGACATGAGTGCAGAATCCAAAACTTTCTCTGACATCGTTCATATTGTCTTTTAACAAAGTTTTCCTGTTTTATTTTTTCTGGGTTTTTATTTATTATTTAGTGGAATTATCCTTTAATTTTAATCGAATCTTGCAACAGTTTAAAATGATACTGATATAACATTAACGTTCATAATATATATAGGTTATAAGGAGCTCAAAGTAAAGTCGGCTAACTCGCAGTGATGTGTGCATGTGCAAAAATCTCCTTCACAGACCGTGAGATTAAAGTTAAACGACCTTAAAGGGGTCGGGCTTTAACTTCAGCTGCTGGATGCAAAATGAAACTTGGCAGTGTCACAATTTTCATGATTTAACTAAAAAAAAATCTGTCTGAGATCACGCCACAGCGGCTCCTCAGCTGACTGGTGATCATGCAGAGTCTGCGTCACGTGACCAAAAAATGTAAATTGTGAATAAGGGAAAAAAAGTGGCTGCAGGTGTGAGGGAGAGGAGGATAAACAAAGACGCTGCACAGAGAGGAAGAAGATGCTTTTCTGCAGGTCTGTCAAACTGTTAGTTCAGCTAATTTCCTTGTTTATTTGTTTTCTTTTCATCAGTGATGTCCTGATCAGCTGCTTGGACCTCAAATACTCATTTTAAGATTCATGGGTTTCATGAGATACAGGATCCATGCGGGACTGGATGTCGATAAATCTGCTGTGCTGTGAATGACGAGAAATTTCATGGTTATTAAGAAGGAAGTGGATAAACTCTGTGGTTAACCTAGAAGTGATTTTAAAAAGGAAGCTCAGAGCGACAGCCAACCTTAAATACCGTAAATTCACAGAAACGGGTTGTAAATCACTGACAATGTTATCTCATAAAATAGGAACAAAATAATGAGAGAGGCTGATCAACTTCCTGCTTTGAGATGAGAAAAAAATGCCTCAGTTTTGACGACATTTAATAACCAATTTCTAAATATTAATTAAAAAGTTACAGAGTTTAAGTAAAATAGGTTCCTACTTATGAAAACTGAGACTGTATTTTGTTTTGAAGCTTTTATTAACGAGATATTCACAAGACAAAAATATTTGAGAAGTTTAAAAGTTCTCTAGTTTCCTTTTGCTTCTCCTGTTCACTAAATTTGGTCAGAAATGCTGCCGGTGCTGAAAACTTTTTCTCAAAATATTAAGATTCAGATTCAGAGTTTGAGTCCACAGTGAGACAAACCGAGTCTGAGCGGTCTGTGAACATGCATGAATTCATTTCTGCCACAGGGTTGCTAATGCTAATGTTACTCGTGCTTTTGCATCCCTGCAGCAACTTGCGCTCTGTTTACTCCAGTTTATGTAAATGACCCGGGTGAGATGATCCGTTTGAAATGCTGATAAATGATCAGTTCAAGAAATCGCCAGAATCGGCTCTGATCTGTGAGTTTAGATCAGGATGATCAGGACGTTCCTAATCAGCTGATCTCTGACCACCACTGCTGCGTCTCTGGATTTAATTAAAAAATACAATCATAGATCTGCAGTTTATAGAAAGACTTACTTGAAACTTGAGAAAAATGAGAGCCTGTAGTGTTGTGAAGACCTGCTCTATCAGGATGTTTGATGTCCCTTTATTGTTTTATTTTTTTCTATGATAGTAAATGTGCAACAAAAACAACATCCCCTTAATTCAGCGTTAGTCAAACATTTCTTCGCCACAGGAACTATTTTAGTTCCACCCGCTGAAGATAACCACCATCATGAGATTATTCCTGCCTCCAGAGCCGCTCCGCTCCGCCTCGGGGAGATGTTTGTATTACTAAACCTCATCTGTGCGCGGCGTTTGATGTAACCAGCTTTAAAAGAAAACATTATCACAGGCTAATTTACTGCCAGAGGAGAGCGTGGAAACACTTGGGCGGCGAGATCCAATTAATCTGCATCTGAAAGTCATTTTAGAAGTTAAGCTCTGCTGCATTTATTACAACAGATACGAGTGTATACAAACACAAGAAAGATGTATAAATAGATCCACACGAGTAAAGAGAATCAGTAACTCTTGGACAGTGTGTGCAAATATCATCCTGCAAATATCATCCTGCTAATCCACACCGCTCCTATGACCTCCAACAATCAATTACCGCTAACATGCGTGGAGATGTCTTCAACATTGTTTTGCACAAGCTCTCTGCTGCTGTGACATTTCTGACTCACCTGCCAAACAGGTGCACCGTCCTTATCAGAAGTCTATTATCAGATTAATCATGTCCTCGTGTCGTTCCTTAAACAGCGTGTCAGAGCATAAAGAACACCTGCCGTCCTCCTCCACTTACTCCCTGCTGGGTTTCTGTAGATGACCGACCTCTGTCCTGTCCCATCCTGACCTGTCCCTCTGTGCCTCCTTAGTCAGATTTAAGCAGCGGAGCGATCACATAAAGCTGGTTTAACCCTACGTGATACCGCCACAACCTCAACCAAAGTCCTGCTTAGAGTCACAGGTCCGTGCATCTTTAGTGGGACTGTTCTGCAGGTTTGAGGAGAAGGGTCTGGCTGTAGACTTCCACTGTCAGGACACAAGGTGAGGTTATTCCTCAAGCACTCCAGTTTGTTCAAAGTGGTCATCCCGTTTTGTATTTTCTCTTTGTTGAACATAAAAATAATAAAAAAAAAAACATATTAAGATTATACTCATAAAATGAAGGGCCAAGAAATGAAATATATTCAGGCAAGACAAAAAATACATACTTTTCAGTCTAACCGCTTTTATTTTGAAAGGCTTTGAATCAACTTGTACTGTAAAAAAAAAAAAAAAAAATTAATAAACTCTCTGTCTCCTTGTGTATTTGCTTTTATTTTGAAAGGCTTCAAATCAACTTCCACTGTGAAAAAACATTCTCCCGGTATATTTGCTTTCATTTCAAGAGGCTTCAAATCAACTAATGACGTAAAAACAACATTTTCCGGGTATATTTGCTTTTATTTTGAAAGGCTTCAAATCAACTTCCTGGGTCCTGACAGTGAGGGTCTGCAGCCAGACTGTTTTGGATCTTAATGAAGTTGAAGTTTGCTCCAAAATTTTAAGAAAACATCCTTAAATGAAACTCTTGGACATTTTTTCGAGTCACTGCTTAAAACATGCTGCTGCTGCTGCTGCTGACCTGCTGCTCACGGTGTGAGGTCTGTGTGGATGTGATGGACTTGACCATGAACTTGACTCTTAGACAAAGAAGACTCAGGAGACTCTGATGACTCGAGCTTGGTGCAAAGAGGGGAAAAAAGAAAACCCAAACGTGATAAATCACAGCTAATAATTGTATTTTTAAAGATGTGCACGCTTGTTTCTCATCGTTTGGAGACAATGTTTACCAGAGGATTTGATTTAAGAGACTGGACTTAACCCTATAAAGACTAACAGGATTAACAGGTTCAAACGTTCTTGATTTTAAGGTCTCAAAAAATGCTGAACCTTGAAGAACAATGCTGCAAATATCTGTCAGAAAAGGAAACACAGAATAAAAGATGTTACAGTAAAACTCTTAAATCAGTCTGGAGATGTAACATCAAAAACACTTTCAGCCTCTCTCTTCAGCTCCATGTCTCTCATCCCTCTGTCCTCTCTCTCTGTTTCTCTCGTTCTCTTTATCCTGAACTCTCTCTGCACTCAAAACTCTTTTTTTCTCCTCTTCTTATGTTGAATCCATAAAGCAGAAATGTTGGGATGGTAATACTCTGCGTGAGAGTGAGAGATAAATGCAATAAAAGGTTCACAACAGACCAACCCACATCATGACGACCCTCTGGTCCGGTCAGCCCTGAAGGACTCCTCTGAACATCTTACAGATGCCTGATTGGACTGAGATCTCCGAGAGATGAATGTTGCCGACCGCTTGCTTCTCTAGTTATACCAACTTTAGTAACGACCGTAGGATAGCAATACACAGCGGTCTGAGGAGCCTTAAACAAACCTCAACCAAAACGCCACTCTATAGCCACAAATAATGCTCAGAACAGCACCTAACTTCATCAACAGGACATACAGGGTCACAGACATAGTACTAGACACCAAACATCTTTTTAACTTCGACTCATTTCTTTAGCAAAGAGACTAAACACAACTCACCTACTCTCTTCCAGCAGCCGCTTAATTGTACGGAGACCCACTGCAGCGGGGTGACACAGCTCAAGGAAGAACATTTATGATCATTATTCTATCATTTCCTTGATGTAATAATCATCATATTAATCATTTTGCACTGCAGACGCGGTAGTTCTTCTTCCTTAGCATCTCGGTCTGATTGCATCTCCATGAAGAAATTATCATAAATGTTCTTCCTTGAGCTGCGACACCCCGCTGCAGTCGATGGACTCGCCCAGAGGTCTCGGTACGAACAAGCGGCTGCTGGAGGAGGTGAGTTGTGTTTAGTCTCTTTGCTAAAGAAATTATTCAAAGTTAAAAAGATGTTTGATGGGTAGTACTGTGGCTGGAACCCTAAAACTCATGTCAAGGCGTTTTCACATTTTCTCATCTTTGAGATTTTGCAGCTTATTTAAATTTTAACCAACTGCAATCACACGTCTCTGAGTTTCCCTCCCTCTCCACTGTCCTGCACCCAAACTTTCAGCCCCACCACCTTCACCTTCCAACTAAGAGCTTAAGATATGAACCGATCAACCCTCAAACTTATATTTGCACAATCTGCCAGAGTCCACTTTCCTCAACTCTCACCGCGTTTAGCCAAAAATCGAACATCAGAAGTCAACCTTCCTCCACAAAAATAAACGCTGTGAGTCCCACGCCATCACCTCTGTTGACCTCGGATCAGGAGAAGGTCGGCGTGACATCACAGTGTTTGTGTGTTAAGCTGAAGCTGCGTTCAGGAGCAGATCTGGCAGCCGAGTGCTTCAAGGACCCGAGATAATTACCTTCTTTCAGCAGCTGTGTCACACACAAACACAAACACACACACAAACACAAACACAAACACAGAGGATCTGAGAGGTGGTCGCCCCATGAAACAACATGCAAACCACATCCATTAACCTGACGCTGCATTCTTAAATCCGTCTGTGCGTTTAGCTCTCAGTTCTTCAATAATGGGCTGCAGCTATCATGAAGGACTGGAGTCAGACCGATCAGGTCTTTAAATGAAGACTGGATCACAAACAACAGCATGAAGGACAAGAAGGAGATCAGGATGTACGCAATAATCCGGACTATTTCAAACCACATTTTAAATGACTGTCCAATTTTTAAATGAGATTTTTATAATGTGATCACTGTGCATGATTGATAAATTCGCACTTTATTGCTCAGCTCAAACTTGCAGTTGTGGTAGATGGAGTTGAAAACATCCTAACTCGTCAGAATCACCAAAACGTTGATGTTTCAAGTTTGCTAATCTCTGCGGCTTCACGTGACACTGATCGAGTTTTACCCGACGACTCTGTCAAAACAAGTTGGATTTTGTTTGTGTGTTTTTTTATTGACCTTTTGTATCAGTTAACATCGTAATCATGCAGCCGTCTGTTGCTTTAAACTTTGTAAACAAGTCAACAATATGCAGACAGGAGCTGATGAGCTCTGCGGCTGAGCGTCGACTATCAACACAACTCCAACACGTCATTATTCCATAATTCTTGAGATGATTATTGTGAGGATGTGCATCACTGACACACTTACTGATACCTCCACGGTTTGTTTTTGTTTGGGAGCTGATACCTTTAAACGAAAAAGGACAAAGATGTTCATCTTTACAAAAAAACTTCTTCATGCACCGACTTCTGTTGTAAGACAAGTCAAAAACCAGATACACCCACTGTTCTTATTGTTCCTCCATCCCTGCAGGACATGAACATCCCACTGACGCCTCCACTGGCACAGAACAGTGTGGGTCAGCATTGTGTTTGCCCAAAACTACATCATTAATGCAGGAAATCTGCATATGCACATAATTTAGAAAAGGAGGCTGGGATGGAATTTTGATCTTGGCAGCAGACTATGGCACAGGTCCAGCTCTTCGTACATCCTATCAAGTCAGAAATACATGCGTTTAAGGAAGAAGATGGGAAATCCTCAAAAAAATACATCCATGTTTATCTTCAGATGATAAAAAACTTCACTTTTATACTGAGGGTCAACAAAACATGTCTGTATTCAGTGATGTTTGACTTCTACACCATATTTAGACGGACCCGCCCCCGCCTGAGGCCACAGAGTAACTACAGTTTCATCACCGTCACGGCGGTCTGTGTGTTACTCAGTTATTCAATCCTGAAATCCTTTTTCCTCTGCAGCTGCATTGACTGCTCCATACAGCGCCCGCACACGCACCGACCCTAAATATAGCTTACCGACTGCACTGCCGCATCGATCACAGAGACAGCGGAGGATGTTAAAGAGGATGTTTAAACTATTCAACTCTGTTTTACTCTGATGAAGTACGAGGGTAAGCCTCGTTTATCCTAAAAGAGCCACGAGTCAGTGCACACAAAACGCTCTGCAGGGATATACATTACTTACAGCCAGGGCCACCCAGCTTCTCGAACCTCTTAAGCAATTTTGCCCGAGTGTTTGGAATGACAATTGAGAGCTACTTCAGGCAGGCTGGTTTCACACTCGACATGCATACCCCTCCAATATGACCGTCTCTTAAAGCTGCAGGATTCCTGTCCCCTCCCTCTGCACCCCAACACCTTCAGAGTATCCACCTGCAGGATCCAGCGAGGTGGTTTCAGATTTATTAATTCATGTTTGTAAAATCAGTCTGAGGTGTAAAACACAAACAATGTTCCGCTGCTGCAACGAGCATCTAAAAGCATCACTAAAGTAGGTCTGGATTCATAGTTAGGATTGATCATTCGCACTAAGTGAGGAGATATAAAGTTTTTTGTGGGTTAAAATCATATCTAACTTTGACAGCAGGATGAAAACAGGTTTGCCAGCACTGGTTCATTTATTCTGATGCAGTTAGATCAGAAATAAAAGTGACATTTTTCACCGACTGTGTGTTTTCTTGACCCTTTGACTTCTGATTATCACATTTCCCTCTAAAAAACAACTTCTACACGACACAGGTGACAAGTGAAAAGTAAAATGCTGTCTGTGTCAAAGAGAACTGATTCATCACTAAAGTATGACCACCTACGACTAAAGCAAACAAGTGCGACAAATCAGACTGATGGCAGCATGACAGAAGACAGCAGAGCTCGATTTTGGAGCGAGACGATCACCACAGACCTGCAGCTCGAGTGTAGAGGGTATCCCCCAGATTGTGTTATTGAGAACACAAACAAGAGCTGCACGAAACAACAAAACGACCAAATTGGGACGCCTTAAATGTGCAAATTGAGTCACACTAACCAGGCATCAGATGAGGCTGGGAGATATGGCCGCAAAGCAGTATCACGATATATCGAGCAGTTCCCCTTGATCATGATAAATGGACAATAAGGGTAGGAATCAATCTGCACTGAAGAAATGTATCCTGAAAAATCAAAAATGCAAAATGAATTTGAGATGTGATTAAAATGCAAAACTGGGATTATGGACTGAAATTCTGTGATTAATTGTGATTTAAAAAATTGTTTAACATCCTCAAAAATGACGAAAAAAGAAACAGTAATTTCATGTCGAACCCTGCCAAACTAATCACTAACCAACTGTTGTTCTCTAAGATCTGGTCCCTGAGTGTCTGTGGGAGTGGGCCTGATCAGACTCAGCATGAAAACCCCTCAGGACTGCAACAGTAATATTAGCTATAAAAAATCCTGCTGAGCATCTTCCTCCGATGATTAAATGTGTACCGGGAGGAAAGTCATCCATCTGTCTGATCTCCTCCACTCCTCATGATCTGGGTCAGAACGTGCAGATGGATCGTTTGTCCTCCCTCGTTTTCCTCGGGGAAACCCGGAGCATTCCCACGCCTGACGAGATGTACGACGTCCCCAGAGTGTGTAGGATCCTTCCCAGGGTCTCCTCCCAGTTTAAAACACTTGATTTATATCACAAGTGATCAGAGAGAACCCCCCGAAAGAGCCTGATATTCATCTTATAATCTGTCACTGAACGGAGAAGCCAGCAGAATATGAAGCAGCAGGGATTTAATCTAAATGTTTTCAGGTTGGTTTGTCATTTCGATCAAGAAGATTGACTGCGAGGAAACCTGAGAAGGAGTCCACTCTCTGAAAACGCTCTGAGGAAGACCACTTGTTTGTTTTGTTTTGTTTTCCTAAAGCCCGGTGCAAACAAAGCCTCACTCTACATGCAAACACCTCTGCACAAATGTATGCATACACACAACCTGGCATCCTCTCACGGACACTCATTAGCACTGTACACAGTCCTCTAAATCAATTCAACAGCAGGACTTGAGCTCTGCAGGAAGGCCATGAAAGTGGATGTAATCAAAGGGACATCTGGAGAAAAGCTTCTTCTTCTTGTTACAGTTCAGGTCCATTCAAGTTAAAGTGTAGAGATGCTGAAGCTCCTGGACTATTTCTTATTTATGTTTCCAAAAGAAGACACCCTGTGTGCATTTAAAGAGTACCTCTCCTGTTTAAATACGTCTGTGCGACGGTGTGTGCACGACTTACATAAGCACGAAAGCAAAACTTTAACAAGAGACCACAACTTTCTGTTCAAGGAGCCCTGTCGCCCCCACGCTGATGCATAACTTAAACACCTGGAGTGATCTGCATTGACTGTAAAATTACAAGAGCTCTGGCTGGCGGCGCTCCAGTCCATCTCACACGGCTCTTAATCTGCAGCTCTGACTGTCTGTGGGCGAGCACAGAGAGTGTGAACTGTGAGTGATACAGCTGCCTTCCTCCGTTCATCATATCAGTCTCTGCGAAAGCACATTGAACCTGCACCTTTGGTCGAGGCACGCCGTTTCCCTGCACGTCTTACCCATAAATATTACATAAGCATTATAAACTAAGTCCTTTGGAGCGTGCAGAGTTAAATTAGAGATTACAGTCAAGTGGACGCTCTTCAGCACGGCTCCACAACGAACCCTGATGTCGTTCAATGAAAAAAAGGAAGTGTTTTGGTAATTTGCATCTCATTTCAGGCTCCTCTATAGAATGAACCCAGCAGAGAAGAATCCGCCTCACCTCAAACATCCAATTTCTAAATATTTAAAGAGATTTAAATATATTTATGACTCTAAAACAAGAGCTGGTGGGTAAAAGATAGAAATAAGAAATGATTTCTTTATTTTTTTAAGCAACAGAGCAAGATATCTTATCCATCTTGGAGATCCTCGGTTATAGAGTCAATAAGTTGGTAGTTGGTAGTTGGTTGGTAGTTTGATTCAGGTCTAAATTTTTGAGGTTTTTATGTCATAAAGTTGCTCGTTGGATGCTTTAGTGGCCTGGTGAGCAGAAACTGGCGGGTCTGTCTGTATATGATGAGTCAAAGATCGTCTCAAAAGCCTGAAAAAAGACAAGATAACCTTTATTTTGTTTTAAACTTTCCTCTGTTACAAGATAAAGAAGAGGTGTGCAGTGTACTCTGACCCTGGACGACAGTCTCAATTAAACTCATGTGGGCTCGGTGTGTGAATATATTCATGACACAATTATGAAATAAACACAAACAAAACTAAGTTGAAGAAAAGCCAGCGATACTCTCATCTTAGAAGTCCTAAAACTTTGTCTTTGATTATCATTTTGATGGAATTTTTACAATAAAAAAGCTTCAAGAGAATCTTTGTATTCCAGTTTCATACCCGCCCGACTACTGTCACAATGAAACTGGTAATTTTGCAACATCTGAAGTCATCTTTACTGGTTTAAATGGTGAAACGGAGGAGTTGAACTCTTACAGTGGAGAGCCTCAAGTGTCTCTTTTTGATTTAACTAAATTTTACATGAAAAAATTATATTTAAAAAACAGAGAAAATGGTTTAATCTTATCTACTCTTAATCTGCTATCCAGTTTTACCAAGTGAAACACGTTGAGATCAAACAAAAAGCAGCAAAAGATGATTATAAAACATTAAAACAAAAACCCTGAATAAGAAGTCAAACAAGCGGATCACAATCATAGATATCAGGCAGAACATCACAGCCAGATGTGTCCAGATTCATGCATTTAATAACAACAGATCCTTGACTTTAAGTTCTTTTAACTGATTCAAGGAGCAGCAAACTTAAACACCTTCTAAGTTCCTCTCCTGGAACCAACCAACGTGTCCATACAGCTAACAGTGAAGAGTGAGAGCCTGAAGACCCTCAGAGCTCTGTGGTACACCGTGTCCAAAACATACGAGCTCCGAGAAAAGGCGAGTCTGCACCAAACATCACCACAGACACAACCACAAGAAACAACTCCTGAGAAAGACAGGATGTGAATCTAATGTAACGACCCACTTTCATTTTCAGCTAAAAGAGAATAAACAATTAAAATATCAAGAGGTACAAACTCAGTCCGTGTGAACCCTGAGAGGCCAGGACAAGATTTAACAGATAAAACAACAACTTTAGTGTTTTTTTCTGTGATTTTAACAAGTTTTTAATCATTTAAATTTGTTTAAAAATGTTTAAATCAGAGTCTAACTTCAGGAGAACTCAGGAATTAAACATGATCAACTCCAATGATCCTGCAATAAAGCTGATCTGATCTGCACTTACATAATCCAGCCTTTCTTTACAACCTCACACACACACACACACACACACACACACACACACACACACACACACACACACACACTCAACATGTGACAGCTGACAGTCAATCAACTGGATCTATAGACCCCGTTATCGATAGATTACACATTTGAACAGAACCACATGTATGGAGGCAATAATTCACACCCAAGTGGATCGATGTGAAGCGGGGAAAGTGAAGGTTTCTGCACGTGGAGGTCGAAACACTCACACCAGGAAACTACAGACCACATCCCTCTCTAAAGGCGGTTGACAGTGACTCAAACATCAGACAGAAGCTCCACAGAAAGACCACAAGCGCCTCTAAACCTAAACCCAAATACAGTCTAGTCTCTAGTCTCTGGCACACTGGGTTCCAAAATCCCTCCAAGGTGACACACGAGTGCGCCACAAACAAACTTCCCACCGCAAGCAAAGATAAACTCAGATTAACATCGAATTTTAATCTGAGGAGGGTGACACTTGCTCCTGCTTGTGACCTACAGAGGTCAAACACTCACTCCGGAGCCAAGAGAGCTGGAAATCCGTCCAGTAGATGTCTGATAATCTGCGAGGATAAAGCGGATTGAACTCACCATGTCCTTAAGGAGACGCCGGGTCCTCAGATAATGTCACGACACTAAATCCTCATTAGACAGAATCACATTGTTTGTTCCACAGTCCGAATACAACGTGAAACAAATCAATCAGGCTCTAGAGGAGTGGAAGTGCAGAGCAGCCCGGGGGTGAGGCGCTGGGGGAGTCTTCAGAGGAGGGGGAACGATCACCGGGAGCGCAGCGGACCCAGCGTGGGAGCAGCGTGGAGAGGAGGCGTCCGTGCGCAAAGACCAGCGAGGAGGAGGAAAGTCCGTGCGCCTCTGAAGACGCTGTGAGGACAGTGAGCCCGAGAGCCCGGCGAGGGTCCGAGGAGAGGTGAGGAGACCCCCGCGGATGTTTGGAGACAGCGCGTGGAGTCTGACAGCAGAGGAGGCGTCGCGCGCTCTGCCGCTCTCTGTAAAGTCACAGCGGACATCAACCGGCTCTGCTCAGGTCCCTCCTCTTCAGCCCTAAAGTGAAAGGAGCATCCGAGTCCATCTCTCTCTCTCTCTCTCTCTCTCTCTCTCTCTCTCTCTCTCAGCGTGTGACGCTGCGTGTGCGCGCTGGAGGAGACAACTGTGTTTTTGTAGGTCAAAAGGGGCGCAGAAGCGACGTGTGTTTTACGCCCTCCTTTTAGTTTCGCGGCACAAAACGAACAAACAACAAGCCCCATTTTTAACCCTGACAAACCTCGATCTATTCTTGTTCTTCCACGTCTTTTTGTTCCCAGTTTTTAACAGTCTTGCACCAGTTTATCCATGTCTGATTTCCTGGTTGAGTGGGCGTGGTCCCCATTTTCCCGCGTCTTTACACCTGTATGCAATCAGCCTAATACCACGCCCACTACTCTTATCTGCAGGGGCGTCATGAGGGTCAAAAGTTAGGGGGTACAGGGGGGCCCCATAAAGATGGTGTTGTGGGGACTGAAAGACAGAAAATGTGAGGGTCTGTTTTACACCTGGACTAATTGGAGAGGTTATTCAGTCGCAGCTCCTTGGCTCAGGTGTAGTTTTGATCATAAATAGTGAGAATCAAATGGTCCGGTGCAGAAACATCACAGGACTTGACACCATCTGCTGGTTGAACAACATGTTTAGTTCATGGAGTTTAGTCCAGCTGATGAATCGAAGGAATCTCTCGTACCTTCACACACTGCTGTCAAAGTTTCCTGGTCTTTGCATGACTCTGCTCAACGTTGAAAACACACTTTGATGGATGCGCTGACTCACAGGTTTGCAGCTTCTGCATTTCTGTTGGTGGTGTCTGACGTTTCAAATACCTGCAGTTTTTCCTCCTGGACTTAGGCCGATCTGATGAGTGCGATATGACTTTATACCAAACTAACATCAACGTCAGACAGCAGGATTACTTGATTATAGACGGGCTCAACAGTCTTAGGGTGTCCGTACATGTCGCTGCCGAAAATGAATCGTTTTTAATCTTCTGTACTTTGTCAAAGTGAAAGACAATCATACTAAAACCTGCTTCACAACCTCAAGATCTGAAGTCGAGCTTAGATTTTTCTCTCTGCCTTTGACAAGTAGTTCTTTGGCATCAGTGATATCGACCAATCAGAGCACAGAGCTCTTTACATGTGCAGAAAAGTAAACAAACCTGCAAAGGGAAAGATGAGCGATGGAGTCGGTGCTGTGAGATGAAACTAAAGTTTTTCATGAACATCATCCTGTTTCTGGTCAAACCCAAAATGAAGTAACTAGAAGCTTTTTCCCATCCTCCTTCTTATTTCCTGTCATGGCTGCACTTCGTTATTCAATAAAAATGTTCAATCCCACAAAAATTCTTCCGAGAAACAATGTTCTTGGCGCTCAGTAATCAACAGACCTTTCAGCTTTTAGTTTTCACTGTCTTCACAAAAACACAGAAAAAACATGAAAACACAAAAATGTGATATTGTTCCTGGAAAGACTCTTTGGAAATTATCAAAAAACAGTGAAAACAATAATGTGAGCGAGTGAAGCCAAACTTTGTTTACTTGGCGGGAGAAGTGTGTCGAGAAATGGTCTTTAAAAATATTATTTTCTTGTGGTTAGTGGATGAATCATCTGCTTGATTCCATGGGTTAGGTTTGATCATATCTAACAGCCTTCAAAGCTGCTCAATGAACCAAGAATTTTAACCTGGCCGGGCCATCCTGTTGCGTGAATCACTTGATGTTCCTTCCCACAACAGGATGGCCCGGCCAGGCTACAAGAATTTCACCTCCTTATAAGCAGACTTCAGCTGTGCAAGAAGACCAGTCTGGTCTTAACATACTTTGATTCCTGCTCTGTAGTTTCTGCAGAAACAAAAGTAGGTGAGTCCACTAAACGTGTGTCTTTGAGATTCCAGCTCTCTGACTCTTCTGTCCCTGAAATCTCCTGATGTCAGTGTATTTCTCTCCCTCTGCTGGTTGATGATCCGTCTCAGTCTTTGGTTTTTCTCTCCTTTTAAAGCGTATTTTATCATGAAAGGTGTCACCTTGGTTTTGAACAGTGACTGTAATCCTACCTTGAGCGGTTCAGGACCATTTAAAATGCTTTAATGCAAGTCGGCCTCGTACAATGCTGGTGATTTACAGTTTTGATGCAAATCAGGGCAGAGTGAACTACATGACAGGAAGTTTCTGTTAATGATGAAATCTCCAAACTCTGTAATTTGACTCTGAGCAAAATTAATCTGGAATCTGTAGTAGCTTCGCAGCAGGTAGACATTTGTGTGTGGCTTGTATACACACCATGGAAAGAACAACAACTCTACAGAGTGAAGCCAACATTCTTAGAGCTCCCCCTGGTGGCTGCGCGTAGTACACGTCTGCAGGCCTGGCTCTTCCAGGTTAGCAGAAGGAGCATGTGTCAAGCTAAAAAAACAAACAAACGAACAAAAAAACCACATTAAATACATTTTACATCATGCAAACTAAAGTGCAAACATCCTTTTTTGGGGTAAGTTTATTTCAATTTTACACTTGGTGTTACAAAGAGTCCTGATTGACAGCTTTGTTGACAAATGAGCATCCTCAAGAGGAACCAAGAGAGAGAAAATGTCCTTAAATCCAGGTTGGAGTTTTATGGAAATGGGCCTAAACGGGGGCTACAGCTGAGACTAGTGTTGATGAAACATGAGTATAAAATATCTATAACTTGTTTCAACTACCAATAATAATGGCATTTAATGGTTTAGTCAACCTGTGCACATCCTTTATAGGGGAATTATTGCTGCTACTGTCTGCTGCTATTATTAGCATCTGACGCAAAATGGTTTTAATGATTAGCTCTGGCCGTTGAATTACCCCCTGGGGACAAGTTAAGTTTTTTTTTAATTAAATTGAATAGCTACAGAGTGATCATTTAATGGGTTACATAGATTTTTATGATGAAGTGCTACAGATGTTCTCCAACAGAACAAGCTGGGAGTGGAGGAACAACAGGAAACCAAAATCAGCTCCTGCTGCCAAACTAATTTGGGTTTGTTGAAGTGATTGGCAGGGATTTAAAAGATAAAAGATGGGGAATATAGTAGCTGGGAAACTGAAGAGTTTTTACAGTTTATGTGGAGAGAAGATTCATAGTCTGTAACGCACCAAAGACTAAAAAGCAGCCAAGTAATTAACTAAGCTTACATTAAAAAACTGCAATCAGGCTCTTTATTACAGCCTTCTGGAGCAGACTGTAGAAACCAGTCAAAAACAGCAACAATAAAACTTCCATTTCTCCATTTCCAGCTGCTGAGAGCATCGACTGTCTGCATCTCTGTCTCCCTCTGACTCATACTCAGGGCCGGACTCTGCTCATCATTTCTTTATTACTCATCCTAATCATCCTAATCAACCATTTACAAGCTTCTCAAGGGGATCAAAAACCAATCCACGATTCTTTTTAAGCGGAGAGGAGACTTCACCGAAGCAGACTGACTCCTGAAAGTGAATTTGAACTCTGACAGAAACGACCTCAGCTATTTGTGTTTCAATAAAAGGGGGTTCAGGTTATGATTTTGACATGTGAGTCCTGATGAATTCAATCAGCTTAGAAACATGTTGGGTACTGATCTGTCTGTCCTTGTTTTATAAGGAGATTCTAACCCTCATGATGGTACCAAAGTTGGTTTTTATAAGATTTGACATCCCAGTTTCAGAGACAGTCCGCAGGAAAAACAACAAAGTTTCCAAATAGGTGAAGATTTTATCATCAGAGTTTGTCCTGGTCCAGCATGGAGAGATTTTCAGATGTTCACTTTTGGAAAACTCTGTAAAGCATAAAACAAATGAAAGGTAAACACCAGCTGTTTTGCAGTTTTATGGCTCCTGTTAGAGCCATGTGTTGTATTTTCTTTGGGTTTGTGTTTTGAAACCTTTATCATTTGTAGAAGAAGTAGAAGAAAACACAATTAATGGCGGGTGTGTCTGCAGCTTTGACCATCAATGTTAACGTTGTTGTCGCCATTGTTTGGTTTTGCTGTTGTCTTTTATCTGCATTTGGTTTCTTCAACAAGTAAAGAAAATGAAACAAAGAAAATGTGACTTTGATGAACTGTTTCATTTACGCTGGGAAACAAGAAGGCAAGGAAGATGCGTCAACTGTCAATGTGGCTGAAGTACGCCTCGGTGGATCTCCGGATAATTTCAGCAGGTGGAATTAAGTCACTACAGCTCCCTAAAAACTTCTTAAAGTATTTTAACATGAGTGTAATGAGTTAACTTTTCTTTATGCTTTTTCTCAACCAAGCAGCACTTTTTTGTAAAAATAAAGCTGAAACTAGAAGGAGCTACACATCTGCGTTCAAACTGCACATTGCTGAATGAAGTGAAGTCCTCACACAGACTTGTTTTACCCCTGAAAACAGACTATCGTTTATATCAGTGAGACTACATTTTACTGTAGATACCCTGGGTGGGTGTGTAGGACTAGGTCTCTGTTGCAGGTCCCTGTTTAAGGTGTTGTCTGCGTATACAGTATATAGGTTGCAGGTTGTGTGGAGCAGTACAGAGATTGTGGGGTGCTGTAATTGTGTGGGAACATGCTGGTTATGCACTGTTGTTTTGTGATGGTCTGGCTGGCCTGTAAACTGACTCCCCGTTGGATAAATAGCATCATAACTACCAAAATATGTGGTGCATTAAAAGTTGGAGCAGAGACCCAGAAAGCACAAACTTTCATTTTCTCCACATTTCCCCCGAACGGTTTTGGACTCTGTATCTCTGTGGTCCGCTGTAATGGCTTCCTGTGATGAGCTGTCCTTCCTCGCCATTTTCCTTCTGTCCTCTTATTTCACAGAAATCATTATTTGTAGCCACAGCAGCCTTTCTCTCTCTCTCTCTCTCTCTCTCTCTCTCTCTCTCTCTCTCTCTCTCCCTGTAACCCAGTTTCTCTTCAGTTTAGCTGTATCATATAGGCTTTCAAACTCTGACTGAAAAAAGTGTCTGACTCACTTGTTAGGAGAAACTTTTTCAAAACTTTTAGGACTTTTGGGACTTAATAATGTGGAGTAACCTGTTTATCTGACTCGATGGTCATCCTGACATTATGTTGGTTTTATATGTCTACTGACCTTTTAGCTCAGCCTCCATTATATATTTATGATTACAGGTGCATGACCGTGCATCCTGTCCAGACCTGGCAAATATCGTTTCCAGCCCTTCATGGTTGCATGATAATGTTTGTCGTTTTTGTCGAGTTATGCAGTTAGACAACAAAAAGAAAGAACTTGAATGAACCAAAACTTGAGTTAAATATAAGATTACGCTAAAAACTCAGTCAGTCCAAAATCTGTATTCCTATAAATCCGATTCATAACAAAAGCTGTCAAGAAAATAAGAAACGATGGCGGGCTCAACGTAACGCTGAGGAGCTGCAGACCTGACTGATGTCCACACTGACGTCTGTTCATCCTTGAAAGAGTTGGACCACGGGGAATGAAAGAAACGGGCTCAAAGAAACGTGACATTGACTTCATGATGGTGGTTTAATCTCCTAATCCTTCAGATCTCAATCCTGTTGATCGTCTGTTTGATGTGCTTGGAAAACCAACTCCAATCCATGGAGACCTTTCCTCACAGACGACAGGATTTGAAGGACTGTCTGTTCATGTCTTCATGCCAGAATACCTTGAGAGGTCTTTTAGGGGTGTTCACACCAAGCTCGAGTAAAATCATTCACCCAAATGAATTACATATTAAGTCAATGCAAAGACGCGATTAGACGCTTTTACTACTCTGGTGGAGCAAATCGTGCAAATTCAGCAGACACGAGTTCTCAAGAGTTGAAAATATCTCAACTCAAGCGGATATTCACGTCGCAATAACCAATCAGCAGGTAGGTTCCCGGTTGACGTCTGAAAACAGACCAGATGATGCTCACTGGTGTGAAAATATAAATACAAATCCTTTTACTCACAGTAGACAGATGGACAGGCGTTCTGCAGCTGGGATAGAGCCCCCTGTAATTGGTATCCTGGTACCTGGTACCGACCCTCACCAACATGTCGTCAAATTAGGTTCAAAAACACAGCTGGAAACAGACGTCATCTGGGCACAGCCATTGGAGACCCAGACACGGCAGCGCCTATATCTCCAACAGTTGTGTACCTTCTACAACAAAAACAAAGCAGCAATCCACTGGTTCACTCCTACCGTGCTTGATGAAGACTCTCCCCTTCTCTCGTGTCGGATTATCTGGTAAATTGTGAAAAACCGTTGTCTATCACTCGATCTTGCCGGTTGAATTGGCAACGATCACTGTTGAAATTAGCATAAACGGCTACTGACGGCTTTTAAGCACCCTGTTGACGTGCAAATTATTACAGCGAATGAAGCGAGTAAATACTTCTCACTCATGTGTCTAGATACGTGTGAATTAAGCGAGTAGATGATTTTACTCACGCTTGGTGTAAACGCCCCATAACAACCTAAAAGTTTTCAACCGTCGCCATGATGAGTTGTTGAATCCTCCAAATGATCAGGAAAGGACCATGACAGCTGAGTTGAAGCCATAATTATCATATTAAACTATTATTTTCATTCACATGGATAAATATCACATTCACATTGTAATTCTCTGGCTGACAGGAGCACGCTTCATCCTTCTGCTCTCCATATATTCACATGGAGGTGGCGCTCAGTGAAATGTTTGATCCCATTCTTGGCATTTCCAGTGTAAGAGGAGAGCAGACTCTACTACCTCTGTACATCTTGTTCTGTGTCAGATCAGCATCCATGTTTGTCTCATATTGATTTTATTGGACAGCTATTAATGGCTGTGAAGGAAAGCAAATACTCCGGTGTGCACAAGCTCACTGCTCGTTTATTTTTAGTCATCAGCACAGATTCAGGAGAGGAGATTTATCAGGAATGAATTCACTGATTACAAACAACACGGGTGATAATGATTTCTTAATGAGTGGCACTTAAATGTGGACACCACTTCCAACACCGCGCAGATGTGAGACAAACAATTGATCTGGTATTCAGGGAGTTTATTGATAATCTATTTTTATGATTTAATCATATTTCATGTCTTCTATTATACGAACACGTTGTGATCACAGTTTTTGCCATCACGCTGTACAAAAACCTTTTGAGACTTTAACCTCGGCAGTTGGAAGGTATCAGGTGTTCCCCAAGATTGCGCTTTTGTCACCGTTTTTAAGTCCTAACCTCGAGGCCCGAGTCCTTGGTGTTGTGTTAAAACACCAGCCTTGGAATGAGCAGCTTTCACATTTTCAGCTGCAGAAGTTTCTCTAATTCTTGATTAAAAAAAAAGAACAGGGTTTTTGAGGCGGACATGTTATTGGTTAGTCTGCTTGCTAACACAAAGGTCAACCAGGGAAATGTCAGGGGGACGGAGGGAGCCGTAATCTAACACCAACTTCAAATTAAGAGTATTGGTTTTTGTGACCTTTGCACTGGAATCAATGAGGCCTGTTTGTACATGTTACTCTCTGTGTTTGGGTTTTACTTCACAAATAATGTTAAAAAGATGAAACTCTGTATCAATAGAGATGATTGGGAGAGATCTGTAATTAAAAAATATATTTATGTATTATTATTATTACATTATTTTTCATTTTATCCCATTTCTCAGCTGTAACCGAATCATTATTCTCCTCTTGACCCGCCCATGACTCCCTCTGAAACTGTTTGTGATCCACGTCTCTGAAGCTTTTAAACTGGGTCGTCTCTAAATCCCATCAATGAATCAGACTCATTCATAATTTTTCAGCAGTGTTCCTTCAGTGATTCCCTGAAATGACAGCATGCAGAAAGCTGATATTTTCAATCAGAGAACTCATTAAAAGTGAGTTAGTCCTCTCAGATGAGTTTGGTTAAATAAAAGATGGAAATTTTGACATTTTCATGAAGATAAAAAGGAGATAACTTCTGTACTTGCAAAAATGTTTTTAAACCTCCAAAATTATCTTTATTCAGCTCTGACTCTGACTTCATTAAAATAAAGATGCAAACAATCGTTGAAGCTTCGAAATGTGATATCTTACATATAAACGCTCACACATATGGACACACTTTCAGGTGAATATCTGAAAGGAAACTCTCTGTTTATGTTTGTTTGCTCCTTGAACACATCGTCTTTTACTGCCAACCTGCTGACCTTGACCGTGACGTTGTGTCACATCTCTGTGTGTATCTTTCCCTCCACATCAGTCTCTGAACACACCATTCGTAATAATTTGTGGGGAATCCGAGTGAGGCCGTCAGACGTTTAGTGGAGGCGGCGTGGTGCTGCCAGAGATAACGACCGTCGGACAGCTTTGATTGTCGCTGCAGAGGCCAGTATCGCTTCCTCTTTCAGGCTGCTAGCCAATCCCCCTCCTCTCTTTTATCTCCTCTGTCTAACCTGTTTTTTTTTTTCAGAGGCTTTTCCTCCTCCTCTTTTGTTTCGTTCTCATTCCTCGCTCCATTTCTGATGCCTCCTGTGATTTGTCGGCTTTCATAAACTATATGCCTTTGTTGTCATTTGTCCTTTTGTTCTTTCAGTTTGTTTCATTGGCTTTTCTGCCCTGAAGGATTTCACTGTGCACGTTTTAATCAACGCAAAGCTGGATACAGCAAAGTTTAATATTTGATCAAAAGGTTTTTCCTTTTTTTTGTTCACCCAGATTTAACACGCAGTTATGGTTTTAGGATGTCTGCATGATGTGAGGAGTTTTTAGTTTGTCTAAACTCCTGAAACGGACACTGATGCCTCATTAGAGGATGAAAATGACCACCAGCATCCATCCATCATCTTACTTTCATCCAAAGCCAATTCACTGAGGATAGTCGCCCTGAAAATCCCTCTACTCTACCCTGCAACATTCTCCATCTCCTATGATTTCCATTACATTTAGTCATTTAAGCTAAAACCATAGACCTCCTGTGGAGCCTGCAGGTGGATGCTGAGGAGGTGGTGGAGGGCAGTGGTGGCGAAGTGGAGGCAGAGGTTGGAAATCCTGCGGCCAAATTGAGAGGATACTTTTATACTTTTATTTGTCAGGTGATTGTAGAAATGAGACATGTAACATTTTGTTGTAGCATGACTTACCTGACTCCGTCAAAGAAGCATCGTTTTTTGTGGTGTATAAGCTTTTAATATCAGTCAATAGCTATTAGTTATTGATGACATTTGGTAATATAACGATATCGCTTTGTTCTCTTCTGCCTGAGTGGTCAACATTTAAATTAAAATTCAGCTCTTTCTGACTGTAAACAAATCTGTTCTCCACCTCCCTGACCTGATGGATGTGAGGCACGCTCCACGTCCTCGAATAACATTCAGGAGCCCAAACAAAGTTAGCGTGCTACAATATCGGACAGCAGAAACCAACCAACAAGTTCAGAAAATTGTCTGAATCCTCCTTTGACCACGACTGCCGACACAAGCAAGAAAACAAAGTAAATACCGGAGACTCTGGAGGAATAACGGGCGTTTAAAACGGAGGTAGACCGGACAAGAGCTAAAAAGCCGGGTCAACATAAACGATGGGGGACGCTTGGGGATCTTGGTGACCCTGTAACCTTTCTGCTGGACAGGTAAACCGCTTTAACAAAGTAAGACAAGTGTCTGTAACAGAAGTGTTTCTTGTCAAACGGACCTGCTGTAGCGTGTTGTAGCGCCATCGCTAAACTGTTGACCTCGGGTCCTGGACTATGTCACTTTATCCTCGTTGTAGAAGTCCTGCAAACATTGTGTTTGCTGGTAGTCTGTTGGCATCTACAGTAGCACCAATGCTTTTGACTTTCACCTTGACTGGGCCCCATTTGTAATGATCTGAAGTATTTATCTGCATTATATCTGAATTTAATTGGAACGATACGAGCGAGCAGGAGCGTCTGTTTGTGGGCGGGGCTTACTGGAGCAGAGAGGGAGGGGAGAGGAGGAGCTGAGGGGAAAACTGGTTGGGAGGGGTAGAGTTTACATTCAAGATTTCTCCTAAAAACTGGAACTAACTCAGATCCTGACTACACCACCTTTAACCAACTCTCAGGTGTTGCTTCATTGTCTTCAAACACCTGAATCAGCTCCTACATGCATGTTTGCATGAAGCGAAGTGATTGGTTTGCATCAGGAGGAACCTTTTGTCCAAAACACATCTTACTCATTTTACATATGTGGCAGCTGTTGCTCTGTGGTTATCTCTACACTCCAGGGTTCAAATCCAGGTCCTGCTGTCTACATGCCAAAGTCCATTAGCAAGATACCGGACCAGAGACGGAGCTCTACAAACACAGTGCTTCATATTACTCTAAAACAATAACAGCTTCATACCTGGGTGTTTAAAAGTATGTGTTTCAGACCCAGATATATATCTTTCTGTCTGCTCTTGTTTCCCTGTTCCCTCATTAGCAGCTTGTGTGGTTAAACTCTTGGTTGCCATGGATTCAGTATTAGTTGCTGCATCATAAGACTCTCTGACTCCTCCGAGACTCTTCCTCTGCTGGTTTATATCCTCATTTTAAAGCAGAATCATCTTCCTTTTACTGTATTTTGGTTCATGCATTGGTTTATGTACAGTGTTCCCCGCAGCTGTCTTTTTAATATCAATACTAAAACACAGAGACGGCTCTGCTCTCCTCATACAGCTCTTTTTATTCCCTTTGTGAGTAAAACTGCAATAAAACCGAGTGCAGCAGAGAGTGAAAGCACTTCTGTTAGAGAGAAAAAGTTATTTTGTAGGTGGAAACTATTGATTTTACTTTTTTTCTGCTTCCTGCTCCTGTCTCACAGTTTCTGAATCATCTCTGTAATGATGCTGCAGCTCAACGCCGAGGCTGACGAGTAATTAATACAAACAGTGACACGACGGCCTATCGTCCTGAATATGAGACGATCCCTGCTATAATAACTATCATATTTCAAGACTAATTTATTGGAAAAGACTCTTGGAAGGCCAAATCGTGTATATATATATATATATATATATATATATATATATATATATATATATATATATATATATTTTATAAGGAAAGGGATTTAAAAAAATTTACAGACACATTCGATAAAATAATAAAAGTGGGTGTTTTTATCGTGTTTTTCATGATTTTTTTTTTTTAAGCTACTCTGTGGACTTTTTACAACTTATGAAACTAACTGAAATGAAGTGGGATGTCTTTCGATGGTGTAAAAAAAGTAAAAAAAAAATTAATAAAAAAAATTGTGATAAAATTATCTGTGAAAATACAAAAGGACGATTTTTTTTGGATCATTTTACATTATTTTCACAAGGATAAGGCAAAATCAGCATTACTCTGTCCACATGGGGGTGCCAAAGTCATCACACACTGACAAGTTCCTCACAGGAGCTTTAATTTCTTAATGTTATTCTTCTGTTTTTGGTATTTCTACACTGTGAGAAAACTATCACTGAGACTCAGGCTGTGTCTCATTTCAGAGACAGCATCGGGATAAGCGCGCTTAATGGCGCTTAGCTGAGTGCACTGCCGTTTTGTGCCGTTATGTGCCGTTTTGCGCCATTTTGTACCCTTCCTGTGTCCCATTTCAGAGACCGCAACCGTCGAACGGCGCATCTGAAGCGTGCGTACGCTATCCTGAGGTCAAACATTAGACTTGTTGGATCAGGATACAGTCCTATTTACACCTTTTAGGATGATTCCTCTCTCCAGAGTGCAGGAGCTGATTAACTCTGTCAGTAATGAACGGATGTAACCTGAGGAGTCACATTAAAATGTTTAAATAGTCACTTTACAACCATTTAGAAATGTTGAAACCCAAATATTCCTAATAGAAAAAACAATTTCAGAGATTACTTTTCTATCCCATAATAATCGGCTTATATTGAACATGCACCTGCTGCTGCAAACAGAATCATTTAGTGTCCATTTAGGGAAGAGTAACAGCAGTAATTCTCATTTACTCCTAATCAAGAAAAGATGTTGTGCTACAGTTAAATGTTGGATTTGAATTATGGGATTGGTCTTTTTTTTTCTCACACTGATATTTGTACTCGTCTCTTTGTAAAACCACATGAAGCAGATCCCTGCTGCTGCCAAACACAGCAGTACCCTTCAGCTAAAAGCACAAGCCGCTGCTCTGCAGACGACCAACACGAGTCTGCGGTCACTCGCTTCATTCACAAAGTGGTTAATTAGCCACCATTAGAGTCAGTTTCTAATGGATGCTCATTTACCAACAGTGTAATTATGACCAAATCCCATATAAAACCTGCAATTATAACCTGAGCATGTCTGCAGCAAACAAATCAGAGCCATGCAAAATGAGGAGCGTGTAAAAAATAGCTGTTGAGAGGAAACGTCAATAATGGCTGATTGAAGAGTTTGTGCCAAATGAGACCAAATGCATAAAAAAAGGACTTAAACTCATAATCTCTGTCACACAAAAAAGAATAGTTTTAATCTCTCAGCAAGTTGCAATTGTGATAAACATTCACACCAGTCGGTTAGTAAATGAAAAAATAAGTTTGGTAACGCTTTCTTTTACGGTACACTTACTACCAGGTAATTAACTGGTAATTACCTAGTAACAACATGAAATTATCTGGTAATTACATGATAACTACTAAGTCAATACTGTCTAGTTTTTCTCTTTTTCTTTTTTCTGTGCAGCTCCATTTTCAAAAGCTATTTGGAGTTCTTATTTTCTAAGATTGACACTTGATACAGCCTATGGGCGTGCAAAGATTGCGTAATGATACGCTGTTTGAGCCGAGCGTTATCGCAGCGACTCACCCGCCAAATGCGTACAACGCTACTGCGCAAGAGGTGGATCCAAGAAGCGGAGAAAATCCTGGAAATACCAGAGCAATTCGGCTTCAGATTTGTATGATGATGGAAGGTTACCTACCTGGTAGCTAAACAGTATTGACTTAATAGTTATGTAATTACCAGATAATTTCATGTTGTTACTAGGTAATTACCTGTTCATTACCTGGTAATAAGTGTACCATAAAAAAAGCATTACCAAAAGTTTCTCATCATCCATGTGTCAGACATTTCTACAAAAAACAAAATCCAGTTTTAAACATTTCTAAAGTGTTTAAGACAACGTGAGGAAAGTTTGTTTATTTGCAAAGTGCAGTGAAAAGATGTATTCCTAATCTTGTCTATCATCCAAACTCTTCTCTGTTATTTCCCCCGTTTGTTATTTCTCAGGCAGAGTCGATGTAACGCAGACACCTGTTTGTGTTGTTTCTGCACAGCAGTGTGTTCAGCGGGGTTGAGATCTTCTCATCATTATCTGCATCAGGAAAACACCCTCTGTTGCACAACGGTGTCAAAGGGCTCCAACATGCTGTTCTCTGGGAGACCTTATATTTTACCCCATTGTTATTCTGGTCGTTACATAACATTGATATAACATGTGACTTTCTGTATGTGTGCGAGCATTCAGACTTTTCTGCATTTAAGTTTTCCACATTAAATTAAATGCTTTTAAATCAATGAAAATAGTTTTTTTTTTTTTCTGATAATCTGAAAAGTTAAAGAACTACACCATCATTTAAAGCAGTAAAACCTTCACACACTTGATTCCCAATTAATACCTGAAGGGTCGTCAAGTTTGCCGTTGTTCTGCTTGAGCAAACTGATCACAGCCAACGGTGTAAAGCTCAATAATTAGCTGGAACAGTCACACACGCCAACACACACATGCATGCTCACCTAATAGACAAATACACACACACACACGTAACCCTCACCTCTTCCCTCGTGAAGACACTCATAATTGGACACGAGAATCGTTTCAGGCACTCAACCGAAGAACCCTTTTGTACAAATACCACAAGTGCATGTCTGACCGGGGTGCAGACGTCGCACACCAACCTCAGAAACTACGAGGAAACAGGGTGTAATTAAAGTGCGGTCAACTTTATAGATCTATTAAAACATGAGTGACTCTATGAAACTTTTCTGTAACTCTGGCCTGTTAATTAAAACTACAAAACACATAATACACACAGAGTGAATGAAAGGTGGGGTAGGCAGGAATCTGTTAAAGAAGCATCTTTTTTGTGGTGTAAATACAAAAAAGCTTTTAATATCAGTCAATAGTTATTAGTCATTGATGACATTTGATAATATAATGATATCTCTGTGTTCTCTTATGTCTGTGTAGTCAACATTTAAAATTTTTGAGCGGCCCGCTCTTTCTGACTGTAAACAAAGCTGTTCTCCACCTCCTCTAACCTGATTGGTTGTGAGGCAGACGCTGCTCCCTCATGTTGTGTGGCATGCTCCACGTCCTTCGATGACATGCACGAGCCCAAACAAAGTTAGCGTGCTACAACATCGGACAGTAGAAACCAAACAGAAAGTACAAAAAACACAAACATGAAAACAAAGTAAATACCGGAGACTCTGGAGGAATAACGGGCGCTTAAAACGGAGGTAGACCGGACAAGAGCTAAAAAGCCGGGTCAACATAAACGATGGGGGACGCTTGGGGATCTTGGTGACCCTGTAACCTTTCTGCTGGACAGGTAAACCGCTTTAACAAAGTAAGACAAGTGTCTGTAACAGAAGTGTTTCTTGTCAAACGGACCTGCTGTAGCGTGTTGTAGCGCCATCACTAAACTGTTGACCTCGGGTCCTGGACTATGTCACTTTATCCTAGTTGTAGATGAAGTGACATCTACAGTAGCACCAATGCTTTTGACTTTCACCTTGACTGGGCCCCATTTGTAATGATCTGAAGTATTTATCTGCATTATATCTGAATTTAATTGGAACGATACGAGCGAGCAGGAGCGTCTGTTTGTGGGCGGGGCTTGAGGGGAGAGGAGGAGCTGAGGGGAAAACTGGTTGGGAGGGGTAGAGTTTACATTCAAGATTTCTCCTAAAACTGGAACTTCCTCAGATTCTGACTACCCCACCTTTAAAGTTCACATTTCTCGTGTTCACCACAGTGGCTGCCGCCCAACTCTGCCCCTTTAGAAACTGCAGGAAGAACCTGTATGCAAGCCAGGCTACAGTTTACTGCAGACCTGGACTAGTTTTCCTCGTAATTTATCTAATTCGGACAAACTCTGACACAAGCGCTCGTCCCAGTTTCAGTGTCTACGTTTTTCAGCACAGAAATGCAACCAAACTATAAAATCGAGGGATTCTGACAGGGCCCATATCTCGCTGATCATTGCAGGTGTACACCTTCGTAAAGCAGAGTTCACAGAGGAAAAGCGACTCAGTGCACTCACAGAAAAATTCATTCAAAAGTTTTTACTCACAAGAACTTTTGTGTGAAAAAAACGGTCCCATGATGAATCAGCACCACGGACAGAGACACGGTCGGTCACTGCACAAACCCCTGCAGGGTAGGCGTGTCTTTTTTTAAGCAGAGCGACTATTTTTAGGTGTGTGTTTTTTTTTTTTTAGACTGTGTGGTGTTCAAATAACGGGGTTTTGACACCAGGATAACAGGCTGCTGGAAAAATGGGCTTTTAGTCCACTGAGAATCTCAGGAGCTGTGTGAACAACGTCCCTGCAGTGCAACCTGGTCCGACATAACCTTGTGTTACATAACAAAACTCACCGTCTTTTGTTTGGATCAGGATAAACAGGTGCATCACAACAAAATAAGATGATCTTAAACAGTTCATATTTGCAGTTAAATTCAATGAAATGAAAATGAAATGTGAGATTTCACCAGATCAATCATAAAAAGATATTAAAATACAAAAATGTTCAACTCCTGAGAAGGACATTCATTCATGTACTCTGTTCTTGGTTGGGGTCCCAATACAGCGTCATTGTGGTCGCTCCTATTTTGGTCTCCAATCGGTCTGTATTGAGTTTGCGTGCATGCCTCAGTTTAAACAGGTATATTTGTCTGCTGGAGTGTGTTCGTTTTTGAGCATGTGTGAGTATAGAGCGCAGACATAATTAGCTCTTTAATCCGACTCTCTGAGCGGAAACATGAGGGATATGAACGAGTTTTTCGGCTCCCTGCTGCTGCTGCTCGACGCTCAGACAGAGTACAGTCTCCTGTTTCCCATCAGTCCACTCAGTAGCTGTTAAACATGAAGTTGTAGTAAATAAAACTAAGTGAAGGAATGTTTCTGACAGCTGTGTCCAAATAAAAAAGGAGAAAAGAAGTTGTTTTTTTTTACCAGGCGAAGAGGCAGGAAATTGATGTGAAATTACAAAAAGGCTGACAGACAGAATTCAAAACCAAAAAATACAAACAGGAACATGAACTGGATACACAGCAAACAAGACAAAGTGCTTGTGAAGAAAAAGGATAAAAGAAATAAGACTTTCAGGCAGGTGAGATATTCGCAGGAGGAAAATCGGGCTGCTTTATAGTTTCAGTTAATTGGACTCGAAGCTTTGGGCTGTTTTGAATTCCCTCTCTTCTATTTATTTACTCGACACCGTTTCATTTGAGCGTCTGAATTTTAAGTAGGAGGCGAGCTGGACCCTCTGTTGTCCTGAAACCCCCAGGAAAAGAAGCTTTCATGGCTTATTCATTCGTTTTTCGACCAACAACAGTGTAAAAATTCAAAGTCATGCACCTGAGCCTGAAATTAACTTTTTAGCGTTGCGTTTGCATTTTTTTTTTTCATGTATTTTTTTATTCTGCAGAGAAACTCCAGAGTTATTGAGCCTTTAAAGTCCACAATGTACAGGGGTTATCGGCTGGAGACCGTATGGTGGAGGGGCCTGCAAAGATGAGATGATAAATGGCCCTCACTGCAGGGAGGAGCCCTCTGAGAACGCCTCTGTTCAGGGCCCAAAGCCTCTGCATGAGGTGATCCTTTTGTGCAAAGCACATAAAGCATTTTATTATATGCATAAGATGATTAACAGATGCACAAAGATCATCTTTAATCTACCCTCAGCTTGTGTTTACTTTGGCGCCCCCTGTGGGCTAAGATATACATCCTATTAGTGTTTGAATGCATTTCAGCGTATTTTCTTTTGTTTTTTTCTCATGTTTCTGATGGTCTCTCTCTGCAAAGCCGGGCGTCCCATCAGTCATAATGTCCCATCAGCAGGTGATGCAACAGTTGTGGGACTCATCTCTAACAACGATGAGTTGGAGTCAGACTACAAGCAGGAGGTGGAGCATCTGGCGGATAACTGAGTATGCATCAGTGTAGGGAAACCAGGATTAAGGACTCTAGAGAAGGCCAGAACTTCCCCTGTACTACTGCACTTACTCGTATGCAAAGCTCCAAAAATCACACAAGGCTTGACTTTTCTTGTATTTATGAAAGTTCCTTTTTTGTTAAACTGAAACAATACAGCAATTGAAACACGAGTCAGTACACATAACGTACTCAAAACCGTCTTAAAGTAACAACACTGTTTATATTTTACTCACAGACAAATAGTCTCCAAGGTAGAAGCGTTTTAGGAAGCAGAAAACAAGATGCAACATGTGTCCAGCCACAAGGCTTCTCTGTGTGTGTGTTAGCAACTGCAGCGTAGGAAGCTAGCAAACATGGAGGAGACCTATGAAGCTCCACACAACAAACAGAGCGCTCACTCTGATGCAGTTTCGGAGGCCCAATAAACCGAACTCTCACTCTGACAAAAAAACAAAGCACCAAATTTCTAAACCTTTGAAACTAAAAACTTATTTGACATTTTTTACTGTTGACCTTCGCCTTTAAGGCAGCACATTCTTCCTCCCTTCTACATCAGAAAGCAGACTTCATCACGGACAAACTCATCTGAACTATTAACACAACCACGGTAAGATAACTCCCCTTTAGGATCAGAAAATAGCTTCATGCTTAAAAAAATGCTGCTCCAGAAGATGTAGTTCTCTCAACAGTTCTGTCACTGGTTTAATATATTCAACGCTAAATCCACATCACTGCTTCTAATAAATGTGTGACTCAAATCCTCACTTTCTATCTGTACTCACTGAATTTTAACTACTGTACAGTCTTATCTCTGCACAAGTTACAGAGCTGAATTTTTCTTCAAGTATTCATTCACTTTATTTTAGTATTTTGGTTCTTGCTTTTCTCTCTGCACCAGGATCAAATACCTAATTACCTTTCTATTCATGCACACAGGCTCTGAGATTACAATAAACCTCTTGAATCTTGAAGCATAAATATTAATCACTTAGGCTTTAAGGTATCAGAGTTTGTTTACCAAATATACTAAAGTTTCTATGTCTGCAGTGAGTTGAGTTTGCATGTAATTTATGCAAAACTACAGTGAGCAATATATAAGAAACTTATGATTGACACTCTTTTACTGTAATGGTTATATATAGAGAACAATGCAGAGGTGTCTTTAACTCCCTGTCTTAACAGCCAGCAGGGAGGGTTGATACTGATTGGAAATAACAAATGGTACCATGTGACAGCTGTCAGAAAAATGAGCCCACTCTGCTGCTGGCTTTCTGTCTCCACTGTCTTCTTTGATACAACAGCATGTTTAATTAGTTCATTATTGTCCATCTAAAAAAGAAGAAGAAGAAAAAGAAGTTTATTGATCCCTGAAGGATGATCAAAGGATCTATTTTAACTGTGATTTACGGGTCTGTTCAAGGCAGCCATCGAATAATATCCAAAGTGAACTCTTCTGACTCCAAACCACATCTGCTGATCTATATTTTTACGCTCTTCTTCCTAAATAATGTGTCTTTTTTCTGAATAAAACATCCTCAATGATCTTCATGTAAATATTAAACTGTGCGTGCATGTCACGATCGAACAAGGAGATTAATTGATGTTCTGTCTTTGCGGTTCATTCTGTTTTAACTGTAGCTCCTAAAAACAAGCAGCTTCAGAGCACCGAGCTGATATCTGACAGTTTTTGGATTTTTCTAAAGCTTTTTATTCTCTGGAAAGTGCAAAAAATAAAGGTTTCAATCAAGGCTTTAAAAACGGAAATCACTTACATTGCTGCTGATTTTCTGCACCTCTTTTAGTTTCCATCCTCTCCCCACTCTCTTAACGGTGTGAATTTAGACTGATCTATTTCTCCTTTTTTTCTGTTTCAGTCACTTTATATCCCACTGTTCTTTCCCCTCTTTTCATCAAGCTCATTTCCTCACGGCTCCATCTCCTTTTCTTCTCCTCTTTTGTTTACTTCCCAGTTTTATCCCCGGTGGAGGCAGAAAATAGTTTATTTTATGACTTACCAGACGAGCCAGGGAAGAACAGATGGTGCTCATGTTCTAATTTTTGGAGACATGCTAAAACCCTTCAGACCTAATATGACAAATATGTGTTTCTATGTGTAGGTGCATTAAAAAACTTGAACTTTGAAACCTTTTGCATGCATGCACCTGGTGCTACAGTTTGACTGTCAACTCAGGAGGCGAGAAGTGAGTTGGTGTCAAATTCTGAGATATGCATTAGTGTGGATATCAGTTTGAAAGCCGTTTGACCGAGCTGAATCTTTGTGGGGTGATAACATCATAGCTGAAAGGTCAAGAGGCCGACCTAGGAACAAATCTAACGCAGATCCACTTACAGTTACACACCTTCGGGAGCGATGTGGGGCTCACTGTCCTGCCCAACATCAATTTAACCAGCTGGCTGGAGAGGGCAGGTATCAAACCATTACTTTACTCCTGAACTTCTTCAATCGTGTTGCTTTAAATAAACTGAATCATCTAATATGTCATCCACCCATGTTTTAAAGAAATACAGCATTAGTATCCCTTTAACACAGGGGGAAGATGGAGCAGCACAGCCTCCCTCTGGATGCATGACTCTGCACTGTGGAGCTTTCAAACACTGAAGACGAATCAGACAGGGTCCTTGTTTAAAGCTTGCTCCAGGCTTGTTTCCTAAATGTCTTTAAAACGTCCAAACAAAGAACAATTTCTGAAGCAAAGCAATAAAACATTCAGACAGAGC